CTCTCTCTCTCTCTCTCTCAGAAATGCCTCTACCTCTGCTGCCAATGGACCTCAAAGGAGAGCCGGGACCCCCTGGGAAACCTGGTCCTCGGGGTCCACCTGGCCCTCCTGGTTTCCCAGGAAAACCAGGCACTGGAAAGCCAGGGCTCCATGGACAGCCTGGACCTGCTGGCCCCCCTGGCTTCTCCCGCATGGGCAAGGCTGGTCCGCCTGGGCTCCCTGGCAAGGTTGGACCACCAGGGCAGCCAGGGCTTCGGGGAGAGCCAGGGATACGAGGAGACCAGGGCCTCAGGGGACCCCCAGGACCCCCTGGCCTCCCTGGCCCCTCAGGCATTACTGTTCCTGGAAAACCAGGTCCCCAGGGGGTGTCAGGACCCCCAGGGTTCCGAGGGGAACCAGGACCTCAAGGAGAACCTGGGCCCCCGGGAGACAGAGGTGTTAAGGGGGATAATGGAGTGGGTCAGCCCGGGCTGCCTGGGGCTCCTGGGCAGGGTGGTGCCCCTGGGCCCCCTGGCCTCCCAGGCCCAGCTGGTGTGGGAAAGCCAGGCTTGGATGGGCGACCTGGGGCCCCTGGAGACAAAGGGGACTCTGGGCCTCCTGGAGTTCCAGGCTTGAGGGGGGAGCCAGGAACTTTGGGTCCAAAAGGTCCCCCTGGAGTAGATGGTGTGGGTGTGCCAGGAGCAGCAGGGGTGCCTGGACCCCAAGGTCCAGCAGGGGCAAAAGGGGAGCCAGGAGCCCGGGGTCCCCCTGGCCTTATAGGTCCTACTGGTTATGGGATGCCAGGACTGCCAGGACCCAAGGGGGACAGGGGCCCAGCGGGGGCCCCAGGGCTCTTAGGGGACAGGGGTGAGCCAGGGGAGAATGGGGAGCCAGGGGAACAGGGCCCACAGGGCCTGGGGGGCCCCCCTGGACCTCCTGGGTCTGCAGGGCTCCCTGGTAGACGTGGGCCTCCTGGTGCAAAGGGGGAGGCAGGTCCTGAAGGACCCCCAGGAGTGCCTGGCATTCGGGGTGACCAAGGGCCCAGTGGCCTGTCTGGGAAACCTGGGCTTCCAGGTGAGAGGGGACTTCCTGGCACCCATGGGCCCCCTGGACCAGCTGGGCCCAAGGGTGAGCCAGGTTTCACAGGTCGCCCTGGGGGACCAGGGGCAGCAGGAGCTCTTGGACAGAAGGGTGACTTGGGGCTCCCTGGGCAGCCTGGCCTGCGGGGTCCCTCAGGAATCCCAGGACTCCAGGGTCCAGCTGGCCCTATAGGGCCTCAGGGTCTTCCAGGCCTGAAAGGTGAACCAGGTCTGCCAGGGCCCCCTGGGGAGGGGAAAATAGGGGAGCCTGGTTCTGCTGGGCCCACAGGGCCTCCTGGTGTCCCTGGCGCTCCAGGACTCACCGGCCCTCCTGGGCCTCCTGGGCCTCCGGGTCCCCCTGGTGCCCCAGGAGCCTTTGATGAGACTGGCATCGCAGGCTTGCATCTCCCCACTGGTGGTGTGGAGAGTGCTGTGTTGGGCAAGGGGGGCAAGCCTCAGCTTGGGCCGGGCGAGCTGTTGGCCCACGCCACACCAGCCTTCACCGCAGTGCTCACTTCACCCTTCCCTGCCTCAGGGATGCCTGTGAGGTTTGACCGGACTCTCTACAATGGCCACAGTGGCTACAACCCAGCCACTGGCATCTTCACGTGCCCTGTGGGTGGTGTCTACTACTTTGCTTACCACGTACATGTCAAGGGCACCAATGTGTGGGTGGCCCTGTACAAGAACAATGTGCCGGCCACCTATACCTATGATGAATACAAGAAGGGCTACCTGGACCAGGCGTCTGGTGGGGCTGTGCTCCAGCTGCGGCCCAATGACCAGGTCTGGGTGCAGATGCCCTCCGACCAGGCCAACGGACTCTACTCCACCGAGTACATCCACTCCTCCTTTTCGGGATTCTTGCTCTGCCCGACATAACCCGTGCGCAGCCCTGCTGCCTTGGCCTACTCCTTTAGTGGTAGAGTGACCTTTTCAGTTACAAAGACCTCCATTTAAAGAAAAAGACTGAAGGCTCAACAGAGGCGGCGGTGGCCTTAGCCCCAACATGTGGCTGAGATTTTCTGGAAGGGGCTGGCCTGAGTTCCTCTACCTAGATGTCTGAGCAGTGACAGGGTGCAGCCTGTCCCTGCCCTGTAGGATCCTAGGACATTTGGCCCAGGCCCCACAAGTCCTGGATGCATTTCTGGTCCAACAGAGTCAAGAGGGCCTGGGCTCCCTCATGCACTTGCCTGTTGGGCCCCGGAGGGCACCTGCTCTAGGAGTAGGGCTCTTCCAGCTCCCTGGGACAGTGAGTCATCTCCAAGGGAAAGGGAGAAGAGCGTGTCCCTTGAGGTGGTTAATGTGGATGCCCTGCCAGGAACTCAACCCCAGGGTGATGCTGTTACGCAGGCCTGTCCACAACAGGGACTGATATAGGGCCTCTCTGCAGGCATCTGGGAAGGGTAAAACCCTTGCTCTGCTTCAGCAACAGTCTGGGGAAAGGTGGTCTGCAGAGGGTAGGAGTGGATCTGGGGCAGGAAGGACGGCTGCTCCTCCATCTCCCTGCTTTGTTTTAAGCATGAGGACAATGCACAGGCCCCTGTGACTGCCGTGAGCTGTGATGTGTCTGGAAGTGGGTACATGGCGTGGCACCAGGCAGGGCTGAAGGCAGCAGGCATGAGTGCGCCTCCGTCTCTGCTTTCACCTGCCAGGGGTGAGGCCAGTTTCCTCCCTCCACATTGTAAGAGGATCCCAACTCAAGTGTTTCAAAGGTCGAGCACCTTTCATTCGCCCCTGGGCAAGGGGCACACAAGCTCTGGGATGATGCTCCCACTTGTTTTAATAAGAACCACATGGTAGATAGGTGTCTCTACCAGAGGGGTTAATGGGGGGGGGTCCTCTGTGTCCACCTCTGGCTCCAATTTCCTGTTCTAAGCAGGATTAGGGCCCAGGAGGCTGGGGATCTGTGAGGAAGGGTCCCAAAGGCCTGGGCTGGGCTGCCTCTGGCTTTGTCTGCCATCTCCCCAGTCAGGGCGCTTCTGCAGGAAGCAGTCCCTGCCCTTCAGTGCAAGCTGCAATTAGTGCTGGGGTAAGGGTGGTGGATGGTGGTGCATGCAAGGATGCCCACCTACCTACCCCACCATTTGAGGTTTTGCTCACCCTGCACTAAGCTAACCACCTCCTTGCACCAAGGGTGAGCAGTGCTCTGACTCTGGCCAAAACCAGACTGTCCGTGTTGAAAGGGGAGGATGACCCGTGACTTCTGACTTGCTAAGCTGTGGTCCTCCCAGCTCTCCGACAGCCAGCCCTCCTCCCCTGCCCACAACTCCTCCCAAGTGGGCTGCTTTAGCTTTCAAAGGGAGGAATGCAAAGCTGAATCTGCCCAAGTGAGACTTGAGCAAAAGTTTTGGCTGGGGTTCATGGTGGACTTTTTCCACCCCAACACCTGAGAGAACCAACTAGGGCATTTCAGCGGGCCTGGTGGGGTCCTTTTTTAATCAACCTTCTTCTCTGGGTCAAAGCCACTATAATTTGACTCCTTAGGAATGGGTGCTGATGTGGCAGAAATTAATTAGCTCCCAGTGGGATCCCAGGGACACAAGCAAGGTCCCAAAGGGACCCTGAAGGCAGATTCAGAGCTGAGCTTCTGCCAAATTTCATTCCCAAAGCCTTTAGGGGAGGGTGGTTGATGTTTTTTGAAGTGTTTATGCGACTTGAGGTGCAGGTGTCAGTTACCTGATTTACTTTGATAAACGTCAGGTTTTAACTATGAAAAATACATTGCTTTGTACATTTTTGTATTCTAATTCTTAATTTTTTTTTAAGATGAAGGTTTAAATGTTTTTCCACTAGTAATTTCACTTCTAACCTGGTATAGGAGAAGTTTAGTTCTCTACTTACATGTACCCTGTGTCACAGGTTCAGGGAAAACATACTGGGGAGACAAAAAAAGGACTTCATTTTGAAAAGAAAAACAACAGTATTGGCAAAACCTCAATAAAACCTGTCATATAAAGCGCTGTGCTGAAGTAGGCTTGGAGCAGCAGTGTCTCACAAGGCACTCGGGGCCTTCTCCAGGCTCCTGCGTGTCGCAAGGAGTGTGCATTCCTCAGCAGCCCTGACCCAGGTTTCTGTCACCACCTCAGAAATGCTGATGCTCTTATGCTGCTGAGACTGCGCCAGGCAGATGCCAGGAGACATTCTAAGAAACTGGAGGAGGGCAGGGCAGTGGCTGGCGCTGGGGGAGACAGACTGAACTGCCCTGGAACATTCCTGCAAGCTCTCTGGGGTAGTGGAGCATGACAACTGGCTCAGGACCACGAGGGCCAAGTTTGAACATCTGACACAAATTATGAATGAAATCAGGAATATTTGCTGAGGGTAGGGCTTGTGTCAGGGGCAACACTGAAAACAGGGCTGGGGCACTGCCCTGGGTGCACAGCACCTGTTTGCAGTCCACCTGACCCACAGGCTTGAGCCAATCCATGCCTGATTCATCCTGTGCTTCACCCTAGCCTGACACAATTCCACCTCGGCTGAAAGCAGACCTGCTCGACTGGCCTGAGACATCAGGCAGCCAAAGTGGTGCGCCCATGATCCTCCGCCCAGGGGAAGGCAGCCCATAGAACAGCCCCCATTTAAGGGCAGGCGTCTTTAATTGTCCTGTATTCAAAATGGACCCTAGGCAAAACTTGGAAAGGCAAGGGCTTGGTGGGGCACACAGGAGGAAGTAGTGCACAGCACTCAGTCCACCAGGCACCTAAAAAGTTGGGCAGCCTGGCAACACAGGTCCTCCGTATCTTTCCACAGAGTTCCTAGTCCCAGCCCAGCTGGTCCTGGGTTCTGTTGGGAAGCCAGGCTCTGAGAGCAGGAAAACCTGGCTTGTTACTGCCTGCTGTCTCTGGCAAAGCATTTGGGCCGGTTTCCCAGGCTCCTGAGTGACCTTCAACAGGAAAAGCCACCGAACTATCCATGTTGTGCCCTTCTTGGCTAAAGTGTGGCTGGCTGGAAGAAGCAGAGGCCCAGCCCTACATACAACTTGTTGCCTTTGAGTCCCAGCTGCTAGGAGACAGAAGGGTACTACGCTTGAGACAGTTGGGCTGCCAGGGGAGAGAAACACTCAGTCTTCTGGATTTAGCAAAGATTGTTTATTGCTATGACCTCCACTGGAAGCTGTTAAAGAGCCCCATGATAGCCAAGGGCCAGCTGTGGGCCTAGAGTAGCTGTAGGCAGCTCCACAGAACAGACTGCCCAATCAAGGACAGGATGTCAGGCAAACTGGCCGAGACCCAGCAGAGATAAACGATGCTACTGTAGGTCATTTCCACCTCCCCAAGTCCCATATTCTAGGTAAAAAAAGGAAATGCCATAAGCACCTCACTAAAATTAAAATCTGTCCTGATGGCTCAGTGGAATAAGCGCTTCCCTAGCAAATGCAAGGGCCTGAGTTCAATCCCCAGTTCCACCAAAAAAAAAAAAAAAAAAATCTGTCCTGGACCCCCAGGTTTCACTGAGCACCCCAAGGGTGTCACGTAGTTCTGCAGTAGGCCAGTGCTCCAGCAGGGAGGGTGCACAGCCTGTACTGCACTGCAGTAAGGCTGAGGCAGGAGGGCCAGCCCCAGAGGCCTCTGAGCTGCCGTTAGTCCTGCTGCACACGGCAGCGCTCCAGCAGCTGTGGTCCTCACACACTCTTCTGGAAGACTCGGTGCAGGTTCTGGGCCAGGACATCTGTCTCCTCATAGCCCTCACAGCTTTGCTGCCAGCTCTCTGGCACCTGATCCATCCCATAGTAAGCACCAGCAATGGCCCCAGCCATGGTGGCAATGGTATCTGTGTCCCCACCAAGCGAGATGGAGTAGATGAGAGTCCTTTGGAGGCTGTTAAAGGCAGAGGGGATCTCGGGGTCAGGCTCCATGCAGCGCAGGAAGCAGTAGATGGCGGTGGGCACGGATTCAAAGGCAGCAATGCCATTCCCTGTGGGGAAGCCAGAGCATAGGAAACTGACCTGCCCTACCCCGCCGCAGGGCTTCCTGCTACTTGCCATAAGTCGGCAGTCTCAGCTTCAAATAGGTCACAGGTTGCGAAGTTAAACTACCTGGGTTGAAATCCTGCCTCCCCCATGACTGCCTTGTACCTGGGAATGTTACCTAATCACCAAGATTCCTGTCCCAGGTCTTGATCCCTCTGTGTAGAGCGAGTAAAGTTAGTCACGCTCTCCCAGGCCTGGTATGAGGCTAACTGAAGATCCTGTCCTGAGGCACCTCACAGTGTCTAGTGCACAGTAAAAGTGCTAGGTAAATAAACATCTGGGATCACACTAGCTGTAAAAACTGGCAACCAGCTGCTACAGCTGGAGACATGATCTGGGGCTAGAGTACTAAAGCAAGAAGGTACTGTGCTGCCCACAACCCTGCCAGGGACCCTACTGAAAGTGGTTCTGACTGTCCCAGCAGCCCCGGGCTAACCTGAGAGCAGGCTTGGATGCCCTCTCTCCTGAGCCTAAGGCTGGCCTCCAAGGGTGAGGGTGTGGAAGAACAAAGCCACCCACCTAGCTCAGACACTACTTCCTCTCGAGTCACCGAGTCCTGGTCCAGAAGCTCTCCAACCTTCTTCAGGCGGCTGGAGTATGGATGCTCTTCCATACCCAACCTGTGGGTTTGGGGGAGATTTCAGGGAAAAGACCTCTGTTAAGAGTGAACAGGAAGGGTCGGGGAGATGGCTCAGTGGAATAAGTGCTTCCCTGGCAAGCTCAAGGGCCTGAGTTCAA